TTCTCTTCAACGGCACCAAGTCCTCTCCTATCTCAGGACCTTTGCACAGGCTGTTCCTGGCATGCTCCCTCCACTCCTCACCCACTTTGTTCTGCCTTCTCCTCCTGCTATTCCCCTTACAGGGGGTCTTCTGAGGCTGTGCGCTCTCCTGTGGCCAGTACCCAGTAAGGGTCCCCCTCTCACCTGTCCCCTTTTCTCTCACGACACTGAGTGTGCTTTATATTAATCTTAGCCATACATCTGGCCAAAGTTGGCTCTTGGGGGAGTGAAAAAGAGCTTCAATGGTACAATACTTTGTGGCCCTACATGACAAAATCGTATTCCTTAGTACTGTATCTCTCATTCGGGAGAAATTAAGTTTAAATAATCTACCTAATTAATCAGTCAATTAATTATAATTAAGTTTAATGGATGTAAATGATTTAATTAATTAATTTAATTTGTTTCTCCTCGGGGAGTGCTAATGGAAACGAAGTAGGGAGTGCTACGTTGAGCATCTGCGAGTTTGCATGTGCTCGCTCGCTGCACCGGTCGGCCTCAGCCCTGCTGGAGCTCCACTTCTAGAACGCTGCCCGGCACACAGTGGGTGCTCACATAACACCTCCCTGTGCCAAGCCTGCAGTGCGCAATCCAGACAAGGCTCTGCTGTAGAGAGTCCCCGCTAAGTCTCCTTTGCCTGGACCCCCGCACACACACCCCGGGGCAATGGGGAGCCATGGAAGGGAAGGACTTCCTGGGCTGGTGCATCCCAACCAGAGGTCACAGCTGCTGCCGCCTCCCAAGCCTCCTGCCACCCAAGTCTCGCCGCGAGGCCAGCCCAGGACAAGAATAGAGCCGCCCACAGCTTCGGCGACACTAGAGGGGGTGGATGCAGCTAAACCTGGCTTGGCAGGTGGCTCACTCAGGGTAGGACAAAGCTTGGGCTGGTGGGGGGCGGGGCAGGACTCCCCGGTTTCTGGGTCCACCCAGCTCTGCCTCACTCTCTGGGGGGGCCCCCCGGGCAGGGCCAGGCCCTCGCTGAGCCTTTGTAACCTCCAGGAGAACCCGAGGCCCCCGGGCGTGAGGACGCATGAGCTACGACAAACATAGCACAGCGGATGTATATATAGACCCTCCCACCTGGTTTCCAAAAGGATTTGAAAACGGCTTTCACAAGAGGCAAAGAAATGCACTTACAGCATGCCGGGGTTTACACATGAGGCCCTCACGTCACACGCCTCAGGGAGTGGAACCAGGACAAGAAGAATCTCTGATCCCTCCAGGAAGCACGTCTAAAGGAGAATGAGCTCCCCATCGGGGGAGGTGTACAAGCAGAGGCCACAGACCCCGGGTGGGGGGGTTGGCGGGGAAAAGATCAGTCGGTCACGTGAGGGCTGGGCCAGATGCTAAGTCCCTGCCGAGAGAGGAAATGACAGTCGCAGGGCTGGCTCAGTCACCGCCCCTGCCACAGGCAGCCGGGAGCCGGCCCAAGAGAAAGCCGAGGGTTGGGAGCCATTTGCTAGCCCCTCCCCGCTTCCCTGGGCCAGAGTTACCCAAACCGGCTTAAAAACTGGAGCGGGGGAGTGACCCTTAATCACGGTTCTAGGGAGGTTCTCGGGGGACGGCTGTGCTCCAGTCCGCAGCGTCACAGGGAGCCCTGGCCTCCGACCCTGAGCGAGGCAGCTGAGGTTTGGGAGATGCCGGCCGAGCGCCCAGAGCCCAGCTTTGGCCCTGCTGCCTGTGTGGCCTTGAGCTGTTTGCTTCCCTTCTCTGAGGTGCAGGATCCGCAGGCAGAACAATAAGGGGGTTACCTTGCTCCTGGAGAGCCCTCCCAGGACTGGTGCCCTAGAATACATAGAAAGAACGGCAGTACCCCCCACCCCCCACCCCCCAGCCCAAACCTTGGCGCAGTTCTGACAGGGATGGGCTCCCAGGGCCCCACTGCCTTGGATCTAGGTTCAGCCTTGAGGCCAGAGGGCACCTTCCCTGCACCTGCCATTTCCTGTCAGTGCCAGACCCTCCTCCACTCCAGGCTCTGAGCAAGACAGACTCATCTAGACCCTAGAAGAGCTCCCGGTGTAGTGGAAGAAAATATACTAGGTTGAGGGGACAGAGTGACAGGGGGGTCAGGGACGCCTCTGTCAGGAGGCCGCATGTAAATAGAGACATCTTAGCCAGCCACGAGGACATCTTGGGAGAGTGTTCTGAGCAGAGAGAACAGCCAGTGCAAAGGCCCTGAGGTGGGTCCAGACTCGGTGTGTTTGAACACGGTGTGTCTGAAGCCCAGGAAAGAAGTGGGAGAGGGGTAGGGCACATGGGTGGCTCAGATGGTTAAGTGTCTGCCTTCAGCTCAGGTCATGATCCCAGGGTCCTGGGATCAAGTCCCACATTGGGCTCCCTGCTCCTTGGGAGCCTGCTTCTCCCTCTGCCTCTCTCTCTGTCTCTGATGAATAAATAAAATCTTAAAAAAAAAAAAAAAAAGAAGTGGGAGGGGGTGAGAGAGCGGACCAGTGGGTGTGGGCGTTGTGGACCATCAGGAGGCTTGGACTAGGGGAGGTGGGAGCCACAGCACGGTTCTAAGGAGAGGAGAGACTGGGCTGATATTTAACAAGGGAGGCTGCTTTCCCTGGCCTTTCCCTGGCCTCCAGAGGGGAAGTCACCAACTCTTCCCCCTAAGGCTGCCTTCCCACTCCTGACCAGGCCTGAATGCTGCATTGTAATACTGCCTTATGAGGATGCTCCATGCTGTCATTGAAACACAAAGTCCACGTGCCTCTGCCATCTATCAGTCCAGTGAGACTCCTAGCCGCAGAGATAGGCACCCCCCAGGCCGTGCTGCTTGGAGAGAAACTGAGACAGCCAGCCCTAGCAAAAGGGCCTCTGATCTCCACCTCACAGCCCGGGTACAGGGAAGAGCACCCTGCTACTTTCAGTGAGGAGCAGGCAGGAAGCCTTCACTGAGGTCACAGGTTTTATAAACTGTCAAGGGCCCAGGGACTGAGGATGTCCTTTGTAAACGTCAAATTATCTGCACACTGGCACCCCCACTTGGATGCCTGGACACCCTTTGTAAAAGCTGAAGGATCCTATAAATAGTAACTGAACCTGTAAACAACTGCTGTTTGAACTAATGTGCAGAGGAATCTGCAAACTCTAAAGTGCTTTCTAATGGGGCCAGTACTTGGCAAACTGTAAACTACTTGGTAAACTACAAAGTGCTTTATAATGTAGTACAGGGCTTTGCAAATGTAAATTACTTTGCAAACTGTGTTGTAAAGAGCCCCGAGCTTTGCAAAGTGCAAAGTCCTCTGTAAACTGGGAAGCGATTTGCCAGCTATGGAGGGCTGTGCCCCCACCCATGAGATTCTGTAGATGAGTCAGGCCTCTGCCCTGTCTCTGCATCAGCCCCAGAGCTCCCCACCCGGCCTATGCACAGGCAGAGGGGTGGGCGAGCACAGGCGGGCCAGTGGGCGTAGGGGGCAGAGAAGGAGAACTGCGCGGAGAGGTTCGGAGCCCCAGCGCGGGTCCCCCCGCCGACCCGACACCCCGCCCCCTCTAGAACCTCGAGTGCGGGTGAGGGGTGGGGAGCAAGCGCAGGTGGCCAGGGCGCTCCGAGGCTGGGCGGGGCTCCGGGGACACGGGGTCAAAGTCGGGGCTCTGCCGCCTCCTGGTGGCGGCAGGAGGAACGACGGGGGCCGCGCCCCTGGGACTCGGGTCCTGCCGGTCCTGTGCGCGCACACAGACATACACTCGCGCGCGCGCGCACACACGCGCCTGCGGGCCGATCCGCGCACGCGCATCCGTCCACGCGCACCTACACACAGGGCTGCGGAATTCATTCACGCCCTCCTCCCTCCCTTCGTGTATTCATTCATTCGCGTTTTCATTCAACGAAGGGTGACTGAATGCTTGCTAGATGTCAGCACTGGGGACACAACAGTGACAGGTCAGATCTACCCAGAGAACGCTGGTAAAGATGAGCTGGCCTGGCCGGGTCAGATCGGGGAGGCCTCCCTGAGGCAGGGACACGGCAGACCAGGAACGTGGTGGGGGTGCCGGGCAGCTACAGGAAGATGGGGGAGGGCCACCCCAGGCAGAGGCCACGGTCAGGGCAGAGGCCGGAGGTGAGAAGCTGCCTTCGTGAGGGAGGTGCCTTGAAATGATTAAATGCTGTGCCAGGGAAGGGTTAACAGGCAGCCGGAGGACTAGCCTGGGGGAGAAAACAGACTTCACTTCTGGCTGCGCTGAGGCTGAGGGGTGTGCACAAGGGCAGAGGAGAGATAGACCCCAAAGGGATCAGTGCCTCCTTCTGGGAACATGCCCCAATTTCCCGCGGAGGACTAGGGAGCCCCTGCTCTCAGACCCTGAGATGTAGGCAGGCTGACTGCCCCAAGTTTGACCCTCCTGGCCTGTGACTGGCAGGACAAGCATGTGACCGCTTCCTGGCTAGGAGAGTCAGCCCTGAGACTTCTGCTGGAGCTTTGCTAAGCTGGTGGGAGCCACTGGCTGCTGACTTGTCCCCACGAGGGAAGTGTGAAACCGAGACACAGGAAACAGCTAAGCTGGACACAAGTTCTTCAGGATATTAACCAGGCTCCTGGCTCTAACTATGCCTGAAGCCAGTTCTTACATGAACAAAAAAATGCCCTTCTGCTTCAGTCTGTTGGAGGAGGGTGTCAGCCCTAGCCCAGGCCTCAAGGATCACAGGATCGTAGAGTCACATTGGACCCTGGCAAGGAGTCTTCGTTGAGCTGCCCCCCCCCTCCTCTGAGCCCTCTCCAGGGGACCTGGAGGGTCAAACTTGGGGCAGTGAGCCCAAGCACCGGGCCTGGAGCCTCAGCTGGGACCTGCAGTGTCCTCCCATGTGGAAGGGTCTGTCCAGGGCAGAGCCTGAGGTGTTCAGCAGCCCCCCCAACCCCCGATCATGCTGCCCTGGCCCGGGGGCAAGAGCGCTTCCTACGGACCACAGATATTCACCAAGGAGTGGGGCTCGCCGCTTCCACACACAGTCTCACACAGTCTTTGTTCCACTTTTTCTTATTTTTTTTAAATTAAAACAACAATCAGGTAACTGCCCCAACCCAACAGGGATAAGACCCTGGGCAGTCCTTTCTTCAAAAAAATATATTTTCTTTTTCTTTTTTTTTTAAACAATACCAAAAGCAAATCCACAGCCCCTGTTGAGCCGGTCCCCAAGGAGAGTGAGTTAGACAGCTCCCCTAGCACCTCTCTGAGCAGAGACCTTGGGCCCATCCCCTGAGACCCCAGACTGAGCAGATAGGTGGGTCTCCACCTGCTGGTCTCTAGGGGGTGGGAGAAAAGTGATCGGCTCCACACCATGCAAGAAAAAAAACAGCCAAACCCACAAAGCAATAAAAAAAAAAAAAAAAAATCAAGAGGATAAATTAAAAAAAAAAAGTGAAAGCACCCCCGCTCCCGAGGCAGTGGACGGGGTGCCCTTAGAGGCCCTCTTTGCCAGTGCTGGGGGGAAGGCTCGGGCGGCTCCGTCGTCTTACTCGTGGGGCTCAGGGGGATTCACACGGCTCACCCCCCGACTGTGTCCCCCGACATGGATGCCAGGACAAAAGTGTGGCCACCCTAGGCCGAAGTGTGCAAAGTCTATTCAGTCAAGAGATAAAAAAAAAAATATACAACTTGGGTGGCATCCAGGGCTGGGCCCAGGCAGTGTCCCGCACTCAGGCACTGGCTGTCTTCTCTGCGAGGGGCAGCAGGGTCCCGTGGAGGCCATCCGGGCCCGCCAAAGTCCAGGATCTCAGGGGCTGGAGACCTGGGGTCCTTGCAGCAGCATGGGCAGAGGCACCGGTGGGGCCCACATGGCCTGGCTGGGGGCCCCGCTGGTCTGGTTCTTTGGCACTTGGGACCAACGCCTGCTGCAAGCCAGTCAGGAGCAGCCCCCTTGATTCTTCGCCCAACACCCAAGGCTGCGGTGGCAGCAGCTTATGCGTGTGGGCAAGCACTGCCCCAGCAGAGGGGGTGTGGGGCGCTGGAGGGCCAGAGAGGAGCCCACGGCCCGCCCCCTAGGAGTCCTCCCCCAGGATCTCCTTCACAAAGGCCGCAATGTCCGTCTTCTTCGTTTTGTGCAACGTGAAGAATGGGTGCTCCTGGTGGGACAAGAGAAGGCAGTCACCTTGCGTAAGAGTTCGGAGCACCCCCAGCCCCCGCGTGCCCCCCCTGCCCAGGACACCTGTCTCTCTGCCTGGCAAACTCCTACACATCCTTCTATGACCTCCCCCTTCAGGAAGCCCTCCTTGTTAGAGACAGTGTGACAGCTTTCTCCTCCACCCTCCTGCAGCTCTCCTCCGGCCACACTGAACTCATTCTTCCCCACTGGTACCAGGCCTCCAGCCGAGTGGAATGTCCTCTCCATCAGCACGTAAGTCCTTCTTCATCCTTCCAAGCCCAGTTCAAATGTCACCTCCTCTGTGAGGCCTTCCCTGATAGCTACAAAATGACTCCCCTCCGTCACCATCACCCCCATCCCCCTGCACCATCTGTCAGAGCACTGCCTGGGCCTGGGTCTGGAGGAGCGGGGAGGGAGCCGGGGTTATGTCTGAGCCAACAAGTGAGTACCTGAATGATTTAGGACAGAGGCAAGCCAAAGGTGCTGCCGAGCTCTGTGCACAGGGACGCGGCCCTCTCCCGAGCCCCGCCAATCCACCACTCACGCCCCACACTCACCATCAGCTCCAAGTAGCTCATGCGCTCCGCAGGGTTCTTCCTCAGGCTAGAAGAGAGCAGGGCAGGCTGAAGCCAGGCTGGCATAAAGGAGGTCTCCAGGCCAGCCAAGCCAGGGTGGGCTCACCTCTAACTCTACCAAGACTTAGACCAAGTTGCTTTGCCTCTTGGGGTATTTGTTCTCTTGTCTCTGGAGTGATCTAGGGAATTCTCAACGAACCCAATACCAAATGATACTGAAATGCAGTAGTTAACGACCGCACACAGAGTGTCCTTAATCAGGAGGGAAACTCCTCATCGCGGGTCCAGGGACAGGGGACGCCCCAGGGTAAAGGGTCAAGGTGACCACCAACTCTGCTTGCCAGGCTCATTTGTTTTCAGTCTTTCTTAATTTCTCATAGGAGAGTGATTTACACAGCTCCCCTAGCACCTCTCTGAGGATACGTATTTTCCCCTGAGTATCTCTTTGCCCACAATCCATAGAAAGGTCAATATGTTCTGTCTCTCACTTCTGCATACCTTGTGATTTTATTTTTCAAATCCCTTTCAAAATCCAAGAGTTGGGGGGCTCATGGATGGCACATTAAGTGTCCGACTCTTGGTTTCAGCTCAGGTCATGATCCCAGGGTCCTGGGATCGGGCCCCATGTCAGGCTCCCTGCTCAGCGGGGAGCCTGCTTCTCCCTCTCCTCCCCACTCATGCTCTCTGCCACTATTTCTGGCTCTCTCTCTCAAACAAATAAATAAAATCTTAAAAAAAAAAACCAATCCAAAGGGAGGGGGGTGGGGGGATGGGGTGACTTGATGGGCATTATGGAGGGCACGTGATCTGACGAGCATTGGGTGTTACACACAATGGATGAATCCTTGAACACTACATCAAAAACTAATAATGTACTGTACGTTGGCTACTTGAATTTAAATTAAAATAAAGAAATAAATAAGTTTAAAAAATGTTTAAAAAAAAACAAGAGTTGGCCAGTAGAATTTACTTTGCGTTTCCACATATCTTTTCCCTCTGCGGCTAAGCACTTCTTGTTTAATTGTGGGCAGGAAACCTGACCTGGATGCCTCTGCCTTCTTCCTTTCTACCTATTTCCTTTCTAATCTCGAACATACATACATTATATATATATATATATATATATATACATATATATATATATATATATATATATATATATATTTTTTTTTTTTTTTTTTTTTTTTTTTTTTAAGAGAACTCCCATGGGCATTCTTTAACTTGGTACAAAGTTCTAAACATCACTAAAGCAACTCTGTTTATGCTATTCAGGTCCTCCATCTGCGTTTTGTTTTCTTTTCCGGGCTACCTGGTCTGTCTGGTTCTAGAAGGACTGTATCAAAATCTCCCCAAGGACCATCGTTTGCCAGATTTTCCTTGTGCTCTATTTCTGCCCTGCATATTTTGATGCTATGTCGTCTGGGTGTTTATTTGCTAAAGGAGAAGGGGACCGGGCACAGGGCGGAGCTGGAATCGGGCCGGGGCAGGGAGGGGGGCCACCTGGGGCTCGGGGAGGCTGCAGACTCACCACTGCGCAGTGAAGTCCACAAACTCAGGAGAGAAACGGTCAGCTGGGAGCTGGGGAGACGGCTCTTCCACCACCTGCTTCAGCTGCTGGAACGGAGTCCCCCAGGATTCGTACGGAAAGCGGAGGATGGCCATCTCGATCTGCAGCGAGGCAGCAGCGGGGGTCAGACGCGCGCACACCCGGCCCCGGGAGGCAGGGCAGGTGGGAAACCTGCCTGGCCTGGCCTGTCGCCCAAAGCTGGGCCACAGGCAAGTTGAGGGGCGGACACATGACATCAGAACAAAGATCAAAGCTGGGGGAACAGCAATAGTCAGTTCCTCTGACCCAGCCGGCACAGACTATGGCTCCCGAAGCAAATCCAGCCAGGGGTTGTGACGGTGGGAGTATCATCGGGCTTTGAAACAACCTAAATTCAGAAGGCTTTACATGAAAACCCAAGTTCCAGCTAATCTGGAAAAATCAGAGGAGCTGACAAGCCTGGGACACCTTCCCCCAGGCAGCAGTCGGCAAAGGCACGTGGGGCAGGCCCCCCATCGCCACAGGCCTCCCCCTCCCTACCGTCTCCACGGGGTCTTCAGTATCTGCTGCCGTGTATTTGGGCGGTTGTTATGACAGAGCAGGCAAATGGGAAGGGAAATTATCCGCACAGGCCTGCCTCTCCCCGAAGCTGTAGACAGTGAGGCCTGCGTTGGTCAGCTCCTTCGCTTTGCCAACAGCCCCCCCGGGGCCCGTCAGGAACTGAAGTTTGCAGGGCTCCTTCCCCTGCCCCCCGCCCCCCCCGCCCCATGCATCCAGCAGTCTCCTGCAGGACCCACCTGCAAGGCCTCCTCCTCCGGGAAGACTTCCCCCTCCCCACGTCCCCCCTGGACACACGGCCACCGAGGCCTTGTCAATCCTGGTGAACCTGGAGCTCCCTGCAGGTGACATCGAGGCCACCTGGCCTCTGCAGCCACGCCAGGCCCCCAGCTACCTGCCTCGCCTACAGTTGGCGGGAAGTCATTTGTGGAAAAGACCGGCTATCCTGCCACAAACTCCGGGTTCTGATTTTGACTGCCAAGTTGAAAAAAAAATCAGGTCAGCCCAGGCCCCCGCCTGGAACAGCACAGAGACTTCTCACTGACAGGCCATAATCACCATAATGAACACAAGAGACCTCAGCTCAAACAAATGCTTCGTGCTGGCACCTGGCGCCTGAAGAGCTCACTAATTATTGTGCTCAGAAAGAGCCTTCCCATTAGGCTACAGGCCCCTTTCCAGCCAAGACATAAACACACCCCACCGAAGGAGGGTGTGCGAACTGCAGCGGGTAAGGCTGTGATCCGGTGTGTACTTCCGCAGGCCAAATTCAGGGTGCTTTTTCCTAGAACGTACCGATTCCAAGTAGCAGAAGTGAAGGTCCTGTGTGGGTTTCCACGGAAGGACCCAGTGGCTGCCAGAGTTACCATTAGGAAAACAGAAAACTGTCCAGACTCTTGACCTTGTAATCCTTTTTGCCTGGTAATTTTGTCTAAAGAACTCAAAATATGCAAAACAAAACAAAACAGCCTCTGGGCACAAAATGCACGGTGTGCTGGGATTTGCAACAGAGACTATTAAGAAGCAGTGCAAACATTCAGCACCAGGGACCGGCCTGCAGCAGGGCAGCTGAGGCTTGGCCATGACCATGAGGGCCATGCTCCGTGATAGCCCATTCAGGTGTTCACATGATCAGCACCTGACTGACACCCGTCAGGGCCAAGAGCCTTCCCAATCTCATCGCGTATGTCCCGTGGCTGTGCTCACGTGCCCGCAGACGGCTCCCCGGGCTGGGCTCAGAGGCCTGGAGAGAACCCCCCACAGTGGCAGGCCCAGCACCCAAGACTTCACCGGTCCCTCCCCCGGGGCCGGCCAGGGACTTCGAAAGGAAAGAGAAACCCAGAAACAAGTGAGACATGCCACATGAGGGACTGGCTGGGGAGATGGTAGCAGATGGTGTAGAGTCTCTTGAAGAGATGCCTACAGGGGTTTCTAACAATCCAGAGAAACACCAGTGATGTGGTGCTAAGTGAAAAAAGCAAAATAAAAGCCACAGATAACATCTAGAAGGAAATGGACAATGTTGGCAGTGGACGGTAGGCAGAAGGGGCTACGTGTCTTTGATGACTTTTGTCTCCCTGTTACTTTTCCTCTGTTTTTAGATGGGCGTTTCTATGACTTCCGTAACTTCTGGGGGAAAAACCTAACCTGTACTGGGGCAGCTGGGTTCCTAGGCTACGGGCGCAGCTTCTCCGATGCCAGCATGCTAGTCCCCCATCCAGACGCGGACTCTATTTCCCCTTGACCCTGGCCTGCCCTGCGACGCTCTGAGAACAGAACGAGGCAGAAGCACAAGGTGCCAGTCCTGGGATGGGCAGCTCAGAACCCCTCTCGCGCAGAAGCCGGCCACCGCAGAAGACAGCAACCGCCCTCGAACCCAGCCAGCAGCATGTGACCATGAGGAAGTCACATGGAGGCCCCACGTTTGCAAAGCCCTCCTGGACCTTCCAGCCCAGCCCTGACCCCAGCCAGAGCCAGGGGGCGTGGCACAACTGCCCAGCTAGTCCAACCCAAACTGCAGAACCGTGAGAAATACTGAACTACCGTCGGTTTCTGTCACCAGGTTCTGGAGCACCTGCTAACTCAAATATGCACTTAGCAGGGGCTTGCCCAAGTTCCAGCGGGGACATGAGAACGTCAGTGGGATGTGGTGCGTCCCCAGTCATGACGGACAGACAGATGGATGGGAGGAAGGGATGGAGGGAGGGGAGCAGGCTGTGTTATGTGTCAAGTGGTCATGAGTGGGGTCTCTAACATCCAACCAGTTCCGTGTCGTCTGGCAATCCAGCAAGAATTTGCTCTTATTTTTTAACTCAGGAGTTGGGAGACTCTTATCTGCAGGTACAGCGTGCACCTTCAGACTTTGAACATTCCTCTCCGCTTCAAAAAGAAAACCGTTCACTTGAACAAGGATTGTGTCAGCAGTATTAAGAAAAATGGAAAGTATCACCCAATTCCGTGTCTCTGACAATACGATTTTGCTTTTGATCCTTTCTCAGTCACTGCGAACAAACACCGCTTACACGGTTATGGTCACACGATGAGGAGGGGGGTTAGGATAGTCAAACTGCATTATCAGTACGATCCAACACATCTACATTGACCCTGAACTCCCACCCACCACTTCTCTGACCTGCCCTTGAATCTGGCTCCGAAGGCACACACCAGGTGCCCCCCCCCCACCTCAGGGCTGCTGCCCCCAGAGTCCTGCAGGGCCCTCCCCTACTTCCTCAGAAGCTTGTGCTGCTCTGCTCCCACCCCTGAGTCTCTCCTCTCCACACCCCTTCCCACTAGGTATGATCCTGGTTTGGTTTTGGATTACCGCTTGTACCCAGCCCGCAACACCAGGAGGCCAAAGGGGCTGGGGCAGGGAGGGTGAGGGCACCACGGAAACATCCACACTGCGGGCACTCCCCATTAGCTCCAATGGTGGGGATGGGGATGGAGGCCGATGACCCCTCAGCCAGCTCCGTCAGTCCCTAGGGCATCCCGGGGCCACCATGACAGCAACGTTTTCCCAGGTATCCAAGCGGGGAAAACACGCATTCTGGTCTTTTTCCTGTCCCTTCAGCCCATTCTCCACATGGGTACCAGAATGGGCTTTCTCAATTGGTATCTAATTAAACCTTGACCCACACCTGAGCCAAGCCGTGACTCAGGCAGGGGCAGGCGTTCCCTGGGCAGTTCTAGAAAGCTCCCAGCCCTCCTCCTGGACCTCATATGTAGCCATCCCAGCTGAGCTAAGGGCTAGGCACCTGCCCTCATCCCTCCCACCCCCAGAGCCCCAGGACTGACAGCCCACCCACCGCACCCCACCACACTCAAGCAAATGCACCAGGACCTCACAAGCAACAAACTTCTTGCTGCAAAAGAAAACAATTTTCTTAAGATTTTTGCCATTTTGCTCTTTAAATTATTTGGGTACCAGGAGCTCACTTAATTTGGAATTGGCTGTGATTCCTCAACAAGTACCATGAGCTCTGGGTAAAGTCTAATAGACAAGTTATCACAAGCTGTCAAGAACTTTCATGAAGGACACACCTCCCCACTAGGAAAGGGCATGACATCACTGTAGATATCCCCTTAGATACACCATAATTTTTGATGGCACGTTTTCTTCTCAGATTGTGAAGCCAACACTTTTTTCCAGGCCTAAACCATTTGATGGGCCCACCAAAAGCTCACGGACTGAGCATGGCCCCACCCAGGCCCCACCCGACCAGCAAGGGCTGGGCCCAGCTGCAAGCCGTTACCATGGTGATGCCGAGGCTCCAGACATCAGACTTGACATTGTAGCCCTTCTGGTTCAGCTCCGGGTTGATCCTCTCGGGCTGTAAAAGGGATCAGTGAGGCGTGAACACCCACCTCCCAGCGAGGGGCTAGAGTAGGGGCCACCCAAGTTTCCCTCAGCTAGACCTTTCCTCCCCCACCCCAAACAGAAGGATCAGTGCTAATCCTACCCACCCCAGCCCCCCACAGCAGGGGAGAAAACTGAGGCCAGAGGGCCAGCGTCTTGTGGTAAAGGCCCAAATCATGCCTCACAGCTACTCCTGCCTGGGGAAGGGGGGCACCCTCAGGATAGTGGGAGAGGGCTCGGACCTACACAAATCGCACAAGTCACCTCCATGTGGGTGTCCATGAAATTTATCATCCAAATGGGCATTTGGGGCACAGCTAATACCAGGGTAAAGAGGGGTTGCTTGGCCAGGCTAGGTGGCAGGAAATGCAGGGCCTCAGGAAGACTCTGTCCCCAATGGACAGAGGACGCGGCCTGACCACGATCTCGCAGGCACGTCCCTCCTGAACCTCAGCTGTGGGGGAACTCAGAGTGTTGTGGGGACCACTCACAGCCATGTAGGGTTTGCAGCCAGCGTCCAGCGTTTTGGCCACAGAATCCACCAAGTAGCCACTAATCCCAAAGTCGCACATCTTCACGTGACCCTCCTTGTTGATGAGGACATTGGACGGCTTCACGTCTGCCAGGGATAGAACACCTCTTTTTTTATCTTCTGGGGTCGTGGGCCACTGCTGGAGGCCAAAAGCTCCTCTGACGCCCCAGCCACCCCAGGGGCCGATGATACCAGGGCCCAGGGAGTGGAGGAGGGACTAGGCTCTGGGAGGCGCTGCCCCGGTCCAAGACCACAAAGACGGGAGCAGTGCAGCCAGAACACGCCCTGGCCACTGGCCACATGTGGGGAAGGAAGTGAGTTTCTACGAGGACCTCGTCTTTGCACCCACCATCAGCACTCTGGACATAAGGTCCAGAGGGGAGACTTGGCCGGTTTCCTGGCCGCATCTCCAGCTCAGGGGTCCTGCGCTGGGGCTCTGGCGGGGGGATGGCACCACTGCCCGGTTGAGAACCCGGAAGCCACCCAGCATCCATGCTGAGAGGTTGGGAGGTTCGGCCGGGAGGCACAGGGTGGCAGCGCAAACACGGGACAAGGGAGCCCACACTACAACTCGGGGTTCACACTGAGTGGCTATGGGCCACACAGCAGGGGATCTTCCAGCAAAAGCACATGCAGAACACATGCAACCTCCAAGTTTTCCTACAGGGACACACAGAAGGATAGAAATGCACAAGAAAAGGACCAGCAGGTTCCACGCTGAGCTGCCAACAGTGGTGGCCGGGGCGGGGGTGGGGGGGTTGGTGGTGCTGGGGTGGCCGCCGAGGAGGCAAAGCAAGCTTGGTCTAATCAACTTTGTGAGAAGCGGGACGTCCGGGTAAGTGAACTACTCAGAAGGAAAAGGAAGGAACCACGACACACGACCCAGCTGAGCCTCAGAAACATTAGACCAAGTGAAAGAGGCTGGAAAGAGGCCATGTGAATCTGTTTACATGAGTTCAAGAACAAGTAAAACTCATTTACTGTGGGAAAAATCAGATGAAAGGCAAAGGGGGGATGTAGGGGCAGGGACTGACCAAGAAAGGCCCAGAGAACTTTCTGGAGCGGGGTAGAAGGTACAAACATCCTGCATCTTGAAAGGGGCCAGGGTTACCAGAGCGTAAACTCTGAACAGATACATCGAATGTTAACTATGGATCTGTGCATTTCACGATACCTAAACGCTTATGTCAAAACAAATTCAGTCAGCATTCCCAGGACCAAAGTCCAATTCTTGCTCCGAGTACCAGCAAACCTAAGGACCTAAGAGGAGTGGCTGGGGGGGGGGGGTGCAGCTGGGACCGGGGGAGGGGGGTGGGAACTGAAGACAATGGCTTGGAGAAGTGACATTGGCCTAGACTGGGAAGCAGGCTCAACTCATGACCCCAATGGGCACCTCACTACCTAACACCTCAGGTGGCTCATCTTGAGAAAGGGGAGAGGTCCAGCCTCCTTGCAGGACTGGGCGAGACTGTGCCTGTGAGCAGGCTGCAGGCCCCTCCCGGCGGGTCAGTGGCAGGGCACTGACCTCTGTGGATCACGGACAGCTTGCTGTGCAGATGCTCCAGCGCCCTCACGATCTGGCGTTCAGAGCAGGAAGAGAAAAGACAAGGCTGCTGTCATTCCTGCTTCCGTCCACCACAACACAGCAGTAAGCCTCCCTACCCGTGTCCACCTGTCTCCCTCGGCCACATCCGGCCCCCAGTGCCCCACCACCCCAGCTCTTGCCCGCATCCCAACATTGACCCCAGTGTCATGGTGACCTCGGTGCAGAAACACCCAGCCTCCTGCTTTTCTCCCTCCCACCCGAGTGGTCCAGGGTCTCAGGCCCAAGCCTTTACCAGGGAAATGATGTTCCCAAGAGCTTGCAGAACCCCAGGCTTGTGACCCCTCCTAAGGGCTGTCACTACCCCCTACCAGGCTCTTGGGTAAAACCCAGCCCTTCCGTGGTATCCCCGGCTCCTCTCCTTTAGCAGGGCCAGAGGCCTGTATGCTTGAGCCATTCCCCTCAGGAAGACACAGTGGGGAAGCCTGGACAATCACCCCAAAGATCCTGAGTCGATACCCTGGCACAGTTGTGTTTTCAATGTTCTCACATGCGATCAGGATTGAGAAGCACCAGTATAACTGATTCCATTTCCTTTTTCCCTTTGGCTGCCAGGATGCTCAAGCCCAGCATTGCTACCTTCCTCTAGAAACATCTTACCTCAAAAGGCAAACACTGTGGATGCTAAGCTTCTCCCCAGTTTAGCTTGTACCTCTGTGAGCGGTCTCAGGGCATTTTTGGCATAAGGAAGTTGTAAGTACTAAGTCCTTTTTTAAAAAATGGTGTAGAAAGCTTAGGAGTTGGCACACAAAAGCTAGAGACCCAAGATCTCAAATCTGTGTGGCTCTGGGAGCCCAGGCTCCGGGGTCTCCTCAGCAAGAAGGCTCTGATCCAGGGTGGGAGAGTTGGGTCCCTGGAGGGCAGTCGCCCAGGTTCACGGCCCCACTGAGGACCCAGCTCTGCCCAAGCTATCACCATGAGGCTAGGCTTTGTGCCTGCTTACGCAGGCCCGGGGCCCCTGGCTATGGACCTGGATCCCACAACCCCTCCCAAGCCCAGGGTCACTTACAGACACAGCAATTTCCCCCAGGATGTCCTCCGGAATGGTCATGTTTTTATCGAGCACCTTCCGGTAGAACTTGTCCAGGGACGTGTCCATGAGCTCCATGCAGATCCACACATCTCCCTGTGGAAGGACACCTGGAGATCAGCCCGGGGTCAGCCCGAGGCGGTACCCGTGTCTGGATAGCCTGCCCTGGGGCCATGTCACCATGTGCCTGACTCTCCAGCGCCGCTCAGGCCTCCCCACAGACACATCTGCCTGCTCCCAGCTCCTCCTATTCTGCCCCCCAAATCTTTCAACTTCTGCTTCTCCACCTTCCATGCTTGTCTATACTAGTGGGTAGCACACCCAGCCTCACCCAGCTCTGTTGCCTCTGGTCTCCTCCCTCTGATCCCTAATTCTGTGGCAGTTTCCAGAAAGAAGTGATAAAACACACATCTGTGTCCCTCCCAATGGGGGCTCTCAGGCCCAGCTACAGCTCAGCTCCATGACCCAGCCCTGCAGACCCTCCTAACCTCAGCCGTCATGGCCCCCAACACACATGGGTCATCCTAGCTCTAGCCTTGACAGATGGTTCCCTTCTTCTCCTGCAAAGCTCGGCCTCCCCCACTTCCAGCTCCCCCACAAACTTATCTATCTTTCAGGACAGTCTTCTAGGAAGGCTGGGTATGGCATCTCCTTGGGGCACCCGCAGACCCACGTGCCTCCCTGCCAACTCTGACCCAGCATGCAGTGAGGCGCAGGCTGCCCCACCCCACCTTCGCTCCGCACACCTCTGTCTGGCCCACCCCCCACCCCCGCAGTAAGGGGCCGAGCAGCCTGCCCCCGGTACACAGCAGGTGCTTAGCCGGTCAGACAAGTGGATAAGGAGGCACTGACCCAGCACGCCTGGGGACCTGGTAGATGCTCAGGGAGCACCCAGCAGGAGCCTGTCTTCTGGCTGCAGCAAGCCACACCCCCTGGCATCACCCCTGATTTTTCTCTCATCCCACAACCAGTCCTGCCCACAGACCAAGAACTGGACCCTCGCCCACCTCCTTGGCTGCCCCTGCTCAGAAACCCACCCCACCAGCCTGGATGCCTGGGAAGCAAGCAGGTGATCCCAGAGGCAGACTGAGTACCAGGCCCTGGGTCACATCATCTTTAGCTTCACGCGACCTTGTGAGGTGGATACGATGACTGGCCTCGTTACACAGAGAAGGAAACCGAGGCAGGAAGCAGGAGAGCCACGCAGCCTGGGTCCTATGAGCTCTCCAGAACCCCGCACGTGCTGTCTTACTCCCTCGGTGCCTAGCACCTGGCACACACAGGGGCGCGGAGCCAGCGTCTGCTGGGGGCCCAGTGAGCAACAGCGGACGGCGGGGCAGCCGGACGGGGCGCAGGTGTGCAGAGCGAAGCGGGGGGGCAGCCTGCGCGCCCAGCCTGCAGCCCAGCCCCCACCTCCCACCCACCCAGCAGGGCCGCACCTCTCTGAACAGGGCCCCATAGAAGGTGACGGTGTAGAAGCAGTCGACCGTGCGCATGTTGATGTCCAAGTCCATGAGCAGACGCTTCTGCTCCTGTGAGTTCACGGTGGCCCGGATCCGCTGCGGGACACAGGGCTACGGTTCAGGGGCCATGCGGCAGAGGGCGACCACCCCCCACCCCTTGCAGGAGGACTAGGAGCTCCAAGGGGTACCCAGGGGCCGTACCACAGGCTCAGCCCCCGTGCCTCCTCCAGGAAGCCTCCCAAGTGTCCCCTGGCCCAGAGCTCCCTGGCTGGGCTGGGCTGGGCCAGCGCGGGGCCCTGCTCACCTTAACGGCCATGATGGTGTCGCTCTGGTTATGCCGCACCTTCTCCACCACCCCGTAGGCCCCACGGCCCAGCTCCGAGATGGTCACCAGGTCATCAGCCTCCACCTCAAAGTTCTTGGGGGACAGAAAAAAGAGAGGCCACAAGTCAGGAGAGTGCTGGGGCAGCAGAAAGAGGAAAGAGCCAGTTAGATCTGAGCTCAAAGCCTACACGAACCACCTTCTGCTGTGTGACCTGGGGCGAGTCACTCCACCTCTCGGACTCACGCCGCTCTCCATAAAAGCACAGGCCAACGTGCAAGGCTACTGCATGGGATAAATTCCACCGCCTATGAAATGCCCCCAGCCGGCACATGCTCTGGAGCTCCAGAGACGCCCTTTCCCTCTTGCCCCGCACCCCATTCAGGTGGTGGGACGGAATCATGCATTCACCCAGTATTCGGAGTCCCTACCATGTGTGCCTTCCTGTTTTAGGCACTACAGACAGAGAGACCGGAACAAAGGTCTTGCCCTCACGGTGAGCAGTGTCGCCCGAGGCCACCTGCACTCCCTCCTGCCCTCTGCTGTATGGCAGACAAGAAAGCTGGGCATGGCCCACTGACATGTATCGGGAGGGAATGAGCCTGGGACGGGCTGTCAGCCACAGTGGGTCTCTGCCTGTGCAGGAAGCACAGTCCCTGAGCCAGGACCTCAGTCCCTGGTGAGCGAGCCGTCAGGAGGTGCGTGTGCAAGGCAGGTGCCCAGGGGCTGCTTCTGAGGCTAGAGCCGGGAGTCCGCACGTTCGACACACCATTCCCACAGTGATGTGAGCACCGGTGGCCCCAGGACCCCAACTCTGAGATCGGGAAACTTCATGGCAGCTCGGGCTCTCCAGGCCCCGTGAGGCAGGCCACTGTCCCCGTTCCAGATGAGAGGGTCTGAGAGTAGCCAGCCCAGGGCCACACAGCCAGCGTCTGGGGAGGGAGGCTGCTCTCCAAAGCCCAGCTCCTTCCACCACCCACGGCCACTTCCCCGTGGCCCTACAGGGTCAGCGTGGGCCCGCTTGTCACATGAAAACACTGAGGTTCCGACCCCCGAAGGCCCCGGCCCAGGTGCGCAGCCAGCACCTACCCTGTCTCCGATGGTGATGAAGGTCCGGGAGTCAAGGTTCCGGGGGGGTCTGTGGGGAGGAAGCAGACCCCATGAGCCTCAGAGAGAAGCAGCAAACCAGCCTGGCAGAGGAGCCAGAGACCCGTCCCGTCCCCGAGGGAGGTGGTGCTCCTCCAGGCAGCTAGGCTCAGTCACCGAGCCCCTGCTGTGCCGGATGCAAGGCGTGGTCACACAGACGTGGCCAGAGCCTCACCCTTCCATCTCTGAGGTGGGCAAGAAAGGGCACACAGCGCAGATGTGTGATGCCTGGGAGCCCCCGTGGCCACCCCCGCCCCGGGGCCCAGTTCATAGGAGGTGCTATCTGGGACACGCTGCCCCCACCCCCCTGCCTGCTCCCCTCCCCTGGGCCCCCTCCAGGAAGCCTCTCCAGGCTGAGCCAGGGGAGAAACTGAGGTAGACTCACGTGGGGTTGGGTACGGGCGGCTTGGACACGAAGGATATCCGTATATCCTTCTTCCTTTTGGATTTCCCTAAAATGGAGAGAAGGTGAGGCATCTGGTCAATGCTCAGTCTATCGACATCCCTAGGGCACTCCTAGGCTGGACAAACCTGGGGTCAGAGATGATCCAGGCCCCCTGCCCTCAAGGGGCCACGAGGACAGATACAGGTGCTGAGGGTCAGTGGGGGCAATGCTCTGAGGGGGGCCTGGAGCCTCTGGGCACCCAGAGGATGTCCCTGGCTCAAGCCCCACTGGCCCTCCTGGAAGCTGGCCTTGGGTAGTCAGCCCACAACCGCCCGAGGAAAGATGATGCATCCAGAGAGTACCTCCAAGGAAGGTCGCTCCATCACAGATCCGCCCCCACGGGGCACACATCAGGCTACCACTGGGCACCCCCCGAGGGAGCAGGGCCAGGTCCGAGCAGCCAAAGCCCTTCCCAGGGCCTCTGCCCCCACGCCCTGCAGAAGCCCTGCGTCCAAAGTGCCTGGTAAGGGCTGAACTGTGCCCCTCCCACATCCGTGTCTTGAAGTCCTAAGCCCCGGTACCTCAGAGCGTTACGCTAACTTGGAGATGGAGTCTTTACAGAGATGATCAAGTTAAAATGAGGTCATGAGGGTGGGCTCTAATCCAGTAGGACTGGAGGCCTTAGAAAAGGAGAAAGGCAGACACAGAGACAGATATGCACAGATGGAAGACGATGTGAGGAGACATGAGGGGGGAAGACGGCCATCTGCAAGCCAGGGAGTCCCTAAGGAATCCAGAAGCTAGGAGAGAGGCCTGGAACGGGCCCCTCCCTCACAGCCTCAGAGGGAGAACCAGCCCGCCAGCACCCTGATGGGACTTCTGGCCTCCAGGACGGTCAGACAGGAAGTGTCTGTGAAGCCCCCAGCCCGTGGTGCGAGCAAACTGACGCGGCCTCCTTCTCCCACTGTGGCACTAACCTTGGTGGGGGGCCTCCGAGGCACACAGAGCTCCTTTCAGGTCCCACCTCTGCAGCCCACCCCTCTTCTGAGCTTCCCTTTGCTCATCTGTCACCTCAGGGGTGGCTGGGAAGTTCGGACAGACGCAGCCTGGGGACTCGCTGGCCGAAGCCTGGTGCCCGGCACTCTGCCAACTGCACAAAGTTCTTGCCTTTGCCGCCCCCCCCACGGGTGCCCCGGCAAGCCGCTTCCCTCCCCAGGGCACCGGGCAGGCTCCTAAGGGCGGGAGAGGGGCGTCGCCTCTCCAGGACCCCATGCCCACGCCTGCTGGGCTGGCTGAGAGAGGGTGGCCGGGTGCCCAGCGTGCAGCTAGTGCTAGGGGAGAACCGGCGTCGCGGCGCGCTGGCCGTGGCGCGCTGGCCGTGGAGGGCTGGCCATGGCAGAGGAAGCCTTCAGCAGTGCTGCGCTCTGAGGAAGGTGCAAGGCATCTCCCGGGCAGGAAAGCCAGGGCGGGGGACATCAGGGAGCCCACCGGTGAGGAATGAGGCAGCTTGAGTCCACGGCGCCTGCTCCCAGGCAACGGGACCAGAGGTCCATTGTCCAGAGGAGGGAAGTGATGTGCCCAGGTCACTGAGAATGCGGGTGGCAGAGGTGGGACTTGACCATGAGTCCCCGCCTGCCAGGCGCGTAGCCCTGATGTCTGCTCTGCCCTCCACACCCACCTCACACCACCGGCCACCCAGGGAACTGGGAGCTGCCCTGGGCCGGGAACCACCGGCCATGAGTGTGCACAGCACATTGGGAGAACGGGACCCCGGAAGCCACCTCTGAACCGGGTTCAAGATGCAGCTTCCACCACATCCTGCTATGTGGCCTCAGTGCCCCATGTGTGACCCTGGCTTGGAGGCCCATATACTTGGACCCAGCAGCCAGGCAGGGCCTGACACCACTGTTAAGTGATGGGATGGGGTTGTTACTGCCGCTGGGAAGATGAGGCCTGGCCCCAGCTGTCCTCAGAGCTAGATGAAATGTCACAAAATAAAACAGCCCCGGTGGGGATGGGGTCCCAGGGTCTGCATTGGGGTGGGTGGGCAGAGCACTGGGGGTGGTGCAGGCGGGCACCTGCAGCCTCTCCACGGAAGCCCCCCAAGGCTCCCCAGATGCCTGGCTCTGAGGTAGGTCTGCTAGGCCCTGGCAGCCAAAGGCCCGGACCCGGGTGGTACCCCAACGGCACCGTCCTCAACTCCAGAGCCAGGGGGAGCCCTGCTCACTCCACGCTGGCCCCAGCTCTTGGGGCACCTCTGTAACCAGATCATGTGCTTTCTCTGCCCCAAATTCAAATACCACCTTTGCCCCTTAGAGGCCGGGTGCCCTTCGGCAAGTCCCCATTCTTCTCTGAGCCCCAGTATCCTCACCCAGACAAAGGGGATCAAAACAGCACCTAGTTGCTTCTTATCACATAAAGCACTTAGAGCAGCAGCCTGCTGCCATCAGCAGTACTTGATCCCCCAGCCCAGGCGGGTCCCGGAACAACCCGGCGGCCGCAGGAACCAAGTTTCCACACACACTATCCACCGGGTGCCGCCATCCGCTCCCCTGGCACGGGGGTAGACCAGTTGCCTAATCATGAGCTCATATGTGTGGTTGTTGTTGGTTTGGGTTTCTTTAAGATTTAGGTATTTATTTGAGATAGAGAGAGAGGAGAGCACACAAGTGGGAAGAGCAGAGTGAGAGAGAGAGAATCCCAAGCAGACTCCTGGCCGACCGCCCAGCCCAACACGGGACTCGATCTCACAACCCTGAGATCATGACCTGAGCCCAAACCCAGAGTCAAACGCTTAACCGACTGTGCCACCCAGGTGCCCCTGTGTGAGGTGTTTTCATCCCATTTTACAGATGAGGCAACATGGCCAGCTGTCAGGGGCCCGTGGGTCTCTCTCTTGTCCAGCAGCAGCCTGCTGGCCACACAACTGGCCCTTCCCATCTATTCCAAATGTTCTGACAACCCTAGAGGGAGGAGTTCTTAGGCTGCCGTTACTGGAGGAAACAGAGATGCTGCACAGTGAGTCAGGGGTCTGACCGGGAGCTGCTCCCGGATCTGGTGACTCGGAGACCACACTGGGCCAGGCCAGCCGCTCACGGCACCCTCTCCTGCTGGGAGCTTCTCCTTGTAGGGGGACGGATGGGCCTGCTGTCCTCCCCACAGGGAGCACTGTAACGTCTGCCGAACAGGAACCCAGAGGCATCCCTGGGTTTCCCAGGGCCCAGCACATTCTACATGGCAAGAGGAAAACAGAAAAGCCGAGGTGTCCAGGCCCGTCAGTTCCTAGGCCACTTCTGTGCTGCCCTTGGGTCAGACTAAGTCACCACTGACCCCCCCGCTGAGACGGGCCATGGTACCCTCCTCTCGGCCCATCGAGTCCTGCGTCTCCGAAAGAGAAGGCGCGTGCCCCGACGAGGCGGGCTCAGCCGCTAGGTGCTCGGCAAAGGCTAGGCGCACAGTAGGTAGGCCTACGTGATGGCCCACAAGTGGTCACTATGGTTATTACAAGCCTCTCCACAGAGGTGATAAAAAGCCACCCATGTAATAGAATTATTGGGAGCTTTTATTCTTCACTTGAAGCTTTTTGTAACCAGAAAGTAAAACATTTTATGTTAAAAATGAACAATCCAGGAATGCCTGGGTGGCTCAGTCGGTTGAGCGTCTGCCTTCGGCTCAGGTCATGATCTCGGGGTCCTGGGATCGAGTCCCGCATCGGGCTCCCTGCTTCTCCCTCTCCCTATGCTGCTCCCTCTGCTTGTGCGCATGTGCGTTCTCTCTCCCCCCATCTCTAGTAAATAAATAAAATTTTAAAAAACTGAACAATCACTCGGGGGTCTCCTGGGGCTCACAGCAACACCCCTCCGTGCCCTCGCTGCTCTTGGCCCTACCTCACCTTTGTCCGGCCCGAACCTACACACCCATCCCCACCCTGGCATCTGCAAATGTCGTGAGATGGGCTCCCCCTCAGCCGGCCTCAGTTTCCCTAACCATCAAGGCAGCCCCTGTGCCTGTGGCCGGGCCGGGCGGGTGAGGGCCACGTGTGAGGAACGAGGCACTCGGGACATGTGAGCTGCCACTTGCCCCTCCTTCTGAGCCTGGGCCGGGCCAGAGGCTCCAAGCACACGGGCTGGGTGGGCAGACAGGGCAGGGTCCTGGCCCTCTCACCTAGCTGCCCGGCAGGGTCACGGGCCTGTGTCTAGAGTGACATGGGCTCTGTGGGGCAGCTCCCCCGCTGTCAGAGGGAGTGGGTGAGGCCACCACGGACACAGCTCCGCAACAGGCCGCAGGCCACCAGCCACCGCCGCTGTCCGCCATCCACGTCAGTCTGGATCCCAATGGCCAGGCAGCCCAGGCTGCCCAGGTGTGGGCCCGATGTGACGACCGTCACCACAACAAACAGAGGTTCACAGGCGGCCACCAGCAAACCACAACAGGCCTGCCAGCCTCAGCCCGCAGGGCCTCTGGCACCGGTGGGCCCAGTGCCAGGCATCTGTGTGTCCTCAGCCTCCGCCAGCCTCCCAGCAGTACCACAGGCAGAGAACAAGGAACTCGGCCACAGACCTACAGGACAAGAGCACACAGAGAGGCACCCCGGACTCCCCCAACTCCTACCCCTGCCTGGCCCTGCCCTCATCTCCTCCCGCTCACCGTTCCTTGAATAAGCCACCTTCTTTCCCACCACAGCGCCTTTGCATGTTCTGTTCCCTCTGCCTAGAATGTTCTTCCCTGCAACTCCGTCCTAGCTGATATATGATCCTCACCTTTCGCCTAGTCAGAGAGGCTTTCCTGATCGCTCCAGCTAAGCTCCCTTGTCCCTGGCTCTCCCTGGGTCCCACTGGCTTCGCTCCTGTCACGTCCCACAAGTCATGGTTCTACAGTGATTACCTCAGGGGCAGCTAGGAAGATGCTTACTAGCACGGACTCCAGCCAGGCAGCCTGCATTAAAATTGCGGCTCTGCCACTTCCTAGCTGTGTGCCCTCAAGCAAGTGACTTCACCTCTCTGGGCATCGGAGATCGACGGGGAGCCTAGGGTGATCGGGCGTGTCCTCCGAGGTTACCAGAGCCAT